GAGGAAACAAAGGAAGAAAACTGAGACAGCTCAAGGAAAGATGGCCTTGATCTCAGTCAAGTTAGAGGCTGATAAAGAAATTGGGAGGTCAAGAGGGTGAAGATGACTTGTTAAAAAAAAAAAGTCCTGACAAAAAACAAATAGACTGGCAAACAGTTGAGGATGGATGACCTTCATTTACCTTGAATACCATCAGCATTTTTTTTCCTGACTTGCTCTGGTAACCTTGCTGCAATGTGGAAAGGAGAACTTTGCATAACATGAGAAGTTCAGCACAATCTTTAAAGCAGATAACAAATTCCACCATACTGGGGAAAACATTATTCAAAATGTGCACAAGCTAATTGTCTTCTCAGCGATTCTGCTTCATAGCCAGTCATCTGTAGCTTAATAGGATCAGGTAAAAGTACTATCATTATCAGATATTTTTAAAAAAACAACAGCTCATGTCTTGCCATTAACTGGTAAGTGATTTCATTCTACATAAACAGACTATTGGGCATCCAAAATTAGCCAATCTGGTCAGAATATATGTTTTTTTTGTTGTAGGCTCTTAGAGTGTGAAAGCATGATAGACCCACCCACCCACTCACTCATTCATTTGTTCATTTATTCGTCACAGTGGAGGTGCTGTTGAGGGTCAGGGAACGTAAGTGTCATAGAGAAACAGGAGGAAAAGCCTGTATAATTCCCGAGTCCAGGGAGTTTACCATGTGTGGTCTTTAATAGATTATCTTCTTTATTCATAGGCCGCACAAATACCAAACAGCATGGACTTATTGGGAATGATTTTCCTTTTAAAAGAAATCCTGCTTTGGCAGATTATTAACAAAGAACATTAAAGCGTGAGTTTGGGAAGGGCGGAGACCAATGAGTCCAAATCTATCTTGAGTATGAATGGGGCTAAAAAATACATACGACAATCCAGTGAGTGACTGACTCTTCTGTCTACTGATCTCTCTTGAAACCATGAGTGTCCTTGAATGGTGAGATGACATTAATGTGACCAGTGATTAACTGGGTAACCAATATTTTTTGACACATTTTTAAACATTTTGTAAAAACTGTTGCTCTGACCCATAAATCATGGTAGAAAAGGGAGACACATTGGCTGGTCTTGGCCAGTTTTTTCCCTTTAATTATTAAGCTGGCAAAGTCAAAGGCACAGAAGCCATCGAAATAGATAGTAGAAGCTTTGCAGGCCGTGCAGGGGACCGGCAGGCCCACTTGAGGGCCTGAGGGGAGGACTTCCGAGGAGGCCGCGGGCCAGAGGGTGTCACACCCAGCGCCCCTCACAGCTGTTAAACTCCCCGGCTCACTCGGCCCTTTAAAGCCGTTTTGATTTGATGCTGATGTTTTGAATCCTCTCCATAAGCTCTCTGACTGATGCTTGGTTAGATAGCAGGTGAGCAGAAGAAATGCTGGGAGTTGGTGGATCGTTGGTGTGTGGGAACTAAAATAGAGACTGGGGACAGGAGAAAGGGCCAGTCGGAAGCAGGAAGCATGGTCACATCTTTTAGGCACTGGCTTTAAAAGCCAATTTCGTTCGCTGGATGAGTGACTTCAAGTAGCCATTTTCTAGTGCCGATGCTAATGAGAATCTGACAGTCAAGATCCAAATTTAGATACTGATAATGGCTCTTCTTGGCCTGCAGATAGCTTGAAACAGCTCAATCTTGACCATGGGAAGGAGTGGAAAGCTTCCCTTCTGGGTAGTTGAGTTTTTAGAGGAAATTGCCTAAAGTAGAAATGAATTTGTCACTCTTCCTTTCCTGAGAGAAGGAAATTGAGGCAATGCTAAGAATAATACCTATTATCTAAATCTTAAAGTGGCATGGTATTTACTAACTGAAATTAAAGTTTTATTAATAACTACAACAATTATTTATGTAAAGAAAGAGACTGGCACAAAAAATTAAAGCATCTTTTAAGGAAGATACTCAAAATGCCCCTAAGATCTGAAGGAAAAAAAATGCCTTTGTAATTCTAAAGACATAAACTGGAAGTTTTCTGGCTGATACCGTAACTTATTTCCAAATCACAGTGGAGGAAAACAATTATCTTAGATTACCAGAAAGTTCACATAATTTCCTAGAACCAAATGAAAAACTGCGATGTGAATACAATGTTCTGTATCTTACGTAACTTATTTAGGAGAAAAAGAATTCAATTGTGAAATGTTTCTTGAAGAATTTTATAGTTTCTCTTCCTTTACTGGTTTCTGACTAAAATATGCTTGTTAGTGTCATCAATACAAAATCAACATTTTCTGTAAACAATTATTAAGAATTAAAATTCTTATATATGCAACCAGCTAAATTAAAAGATAGTTTTCAGATAATAGAGTATTTTAATTTTAGACATAAATGCATCATTTTAGAGTTTTTAATTTATAAGTAATGTGTTTATCTTGGTGCAGTTTGGAAACATGTTTAATATTCTGTCATAATCTATAAAAAGATGCAATAGAATATGTTGGTTTTCTTACTACTCATCCTAAGAGGAGGCGTGCAAATATTGTTCTGTATTGAACTAGGCCTATAGAAAGATAGCTTTTAAATAACTTATATTAGACCCAGAATTCATGTGTATGAGTTTCAATGTCTCTCTCTCTCTCTACATATATATATATATGTAAATATATATATATATATACAGCCATTCTTCATCATTAATTCTACAAAATGCAATTAGCTGATTGTGTGCTAAATCTCTTATGGTCAGGTAACCTATTATTTCTTATTTTGGATATGTTTTGAGGAGAGAGAGGAATAACCAAGGGAAAAAAATAAGCTATGTTTTTAAAGGCTGCTCTGAGCTTAGAAAATTTCATTTTTTGGGAATACACCCACTGTAGGCAGCTTCTGTGATATCTCCATTGATCCCTGCTTCTTAGAAGGGGCTTTGGGTAGCCCCCTCTCCTGGATGTGAATCGACTGACTGACTTCTTTCTAGCAAATAGAATACGGCAGAAAGAATGGGCTGTCCCTTTTGAGGTTTGGATAGAAATGAGCAGTGGCTTCCATTTGAACCCTCTCTTGGATCTCATGCTGGGGAAGTAAGAACATTTTGTAAGCAGCCCTAGAGAGAGGTCTGTGTGGTGTGGCTAAAAACTAAGACCCTCCGTCTAACAGCTCCCAAAGAAGTGAGGAACCCAGCTCACGAGACCCTGAGGCCCACGGGCAAGCAAGTGGGTGAGTTATGCCTTGAGACATCACAGACCCAGCCAGCATTTCACTGTAACCTCCTGGGTTAGTAACTAAAAATACATGATGCTCTGATGTGTCCAGATTTAGTAGCTAAAAATATAAGACACTTTGATAAATCAGAATTTTAGAGAAACAACGGTAATTTTTTTAGTATAAATATGTCCCATGCAATGCTTGAGACCCATTTATACTAAGAAATTATTTGTTATTCACCTGCTGACATTCAAATTTAATCTACATTTTATCTGGCAGAACTAGAAATGAGATACCTTGAGCTACAGGCATAGCAAAGTCATGATCCCATTCCTGACCCATAGAAACTGGGTTAAAAACTTTGCCACTGTAAGGTGTGAAGTTTGGGGATAATTTGTTCTGCAACAACAGATAACTGATAGATTACCTAATGACTGGATGAGGGTCCTGACAAGTTGACTGATTGGTGTTTTAATTGGTCTCCCAAATGCAGAACCAATAGTGATGCTTGCCATCTGCCTGCCTCACTAGGATGCAACCTGGTTTATTGCTCTGAAGACAGGAAGGAAATATTATTTGCATTTAAACGCTATTGGCTAAAACACAGCTTTTGAGAGACAGCTTTCCTAGCCCATTAGAGAGATGTTTGAAAAAGCTATATAAATGATTTTGAAACTTTTAAATTTCTAAAATGATTTACCCCTTTAAAATATACTGTGGTTAACAAAAATTAATAGGATGATGCCAGAGAGAGAGGGTTTGTTGGTAAAACAAAAATTAAAAAATACAAAAAGCATATTTTGTAGCTATACACTTTTGAAGCTACATTTTTGTAGCTATAACTTTTAAAGCTATGTGCATATTTTATACACATAACCATTCTATATGAGGCATATTACCCATCAGTTACACAGATGTGTTGGGGAGCCTCTGATCTGAATTTTCTCTTTTCTCTCCCCCCACATCTAATCAGTCACTAAGTACTATAAGGCCATTATTTGCAACATTTCTCAAATCCTTCCCTCCCTTCTTTGGTTGGAAGCAAAAGTTGCTAAGTCCTGTTCGCCTCTTTGTGACCCCATGGACTAGCGCACCAGGCTTCTCTGTTCATGGGATTTTCCAGTTGAGCACTGAGGTGGATTGCCATTTCCTTCTCCTGACTCAGGGATCAAACCCAAGTCTCCTGCATTGGCAGGTGGATTCTTTACCACTGAGCCACCAGGAAAGCCCCTAAAACTTTTACTTGTTTCCTGTAAACTAGAGAATGATTTCAGCTAAAAGAAGGTCATTTCCCTAGGAAATCTGATTATCATTCTTCTCTGTGATAATTCTTTTATGACATCATTTTTATTTCTCCTGGGATCTGTCACCTTGCACCCCAGAAGATAGTAGGCATGTTAGATGTCCCAAACCAGTATTTGCAATTCTATGTTGTAACCAAATTGAATGTCTATCATAATTGTTAATATGTTATCTTAATGACACATCCTAATTATGTTAATTTTCCTGGTGGGAAGCAAAAACTTTGTATGATGTGGTAATAAATCCTTTTTAGATGGGCAGATAAATGTGTCAGTGGCTTCTTTTTTCTTGTTTAGTGACTAAAAATATACAAAGGATAATGCTGTTCAATCTAAAATTTATTTTTGTGTCGTGCTGTAAGACTGATTTATTGGTCCAAGGGTAGAAATTTTCAGTAAATTTAAGAACCTGCATTCATAAACATCTGGGTAACTAAAAAGATACTTCAAGCCTATTGAAAATAAGAATATCGTATTTATTCAGAGAGATATCCCCCCTCATGAATGAATGTTTCCTTTCGAGCCATCAGGTCCTGATGTTCTATTAATTAGAATTATGTTTGGCAACACGTGACAGAGACCTAAGCCACAGCGCCTTAAGCAAAGAGGAAATGTCTTCCTTCCTTGGTGATTGAAGTAGCTTCAGGCAGTTAGGACTGGCGGGCAGCTTCATGGAGCCAGAGAGCCAGCGTCTCTGTATAATGGTCACCCCATTGATGGTTCGTTTCCGAGATGCTCCTGCTCCAAGGTGGCTCTGGTAGGTCCAGTTGGTTCCTGCACATGGGAAGCAGCTGGAAGAAGGGGGACAAAACAGTCACATCCTGTTCCCATAAGGACATTGTGATTCTTCTGCCTGTGTCTCACCGGGTGAAGCTTAGCCCTATGATGTCTCTGGCTCCAAGGAGAGGCAGAGAATGTGACCTTATAGCCGGAAGACAATGTCCCAGTTAAAATTTGATGATGTCATACACATATGTATGTGGTTGTTTATAATGAGGGTTTATTTAATATCTTTATCTTAAGTTCAATTCATTATAGATTTTAAAAAAATATGTATATTCTATGACTCAGGGATGGAATACAGTTGAAGCAATAAACTACTGAAGGAGATGCTCCCGGGGTATGTGTGTGTATCTGACAAATTCAGAAATATTTTACAGAAGAAAAAAGTTACAAACACAACTTGGCAAATAAGTGGCTTAGTAAAATCAAAGGAACAGAAGACACCAGGGACTCACCCCAAAATAGCATAGCTCTGGCTGCCAGTGACCAGGCAAACAATATCTGAATCCATTGCTGAGTTGATCCTAACTAAATTTAGTTCTAAATGAATGAAAAATCAAGGTATATTTCCCATTCATAAGAAAAACAAGCTCTTAGAAAATTTGCACACCGATGGGATGAAATCCTAAAGTTTTTAGTTATAATGCTGAAAAACCTTTCATTAACGCTGCAGTTAATAAGGAAAACATCCTGATACCTTCTCCTGTATCACAAAGCTGGATCAGTACCAGCCACACAAGCACATGCTTTATGCTCCTTGGTGCAATATTTTTAAAATTCGGTCAAAAATTTGGATATTATTTGTTTCAGTTCAATTCAGTTCAGTCGCTCAGTCGTGTCCAACTCTTTGCAACCCCATGAACCGCAGCATGCCAGACCTCCCTGTCCATCACCAACTCCCAGAGTTTACTCAAGCTCCTGTCCATTGAGTCAGTAATGCCATCCAATCGTCTCATCCTCTGTCGTCCCCTTCTCCTGCCCCCAATCTTTCCCAGCCTCGGGATCTTTGCAAGTGAGTCAGCTCTTCGCATGAGGTGGCCAGTATTGGAGTTTCAGCTTCAGCATCAGTCCTTCCAATGAACACCCAGGACTGATCTCCTTTAGGATGGACTGGATGGATCTCCTAGCAGTCCAAGGGACTCTCAGGAGTCTCCTCCAATACCACAGTTCAAAAATTATTTGCTTAGAAGAATGAAAAGATGACTGCAATTTTAAAAGCTGGGTAAGGAGGGAAGTTCCATTTTGTTATCCCGAGAATCAGTATATGAAAAGAAGAAATGAGGGGCTTTTCCAAGAAGTCCCAACCTTACTGAGTCGAGACTTTCCTTGTGGCTCAGTTATTCTCAGCTAGCACAAGACCACGTGGGTGGTTATCGTGAGTGGCCAGGATGTTCACCACCTTGGTTCTCTAAAACACACTGCCATCTAAAGGAATTGCTGTGTCTCAGAGTAACTGTGTTGTGTTTCCCTGTTTTCTGTTGCATTCTATTGTGAGAACCCGTTGCCGTTTTCTGTCTGCTGGGCGTCAGTGCCGTTGGCAGAGATTGCTGCCACTTCCTTTCCTGCACGTTTGTCTCAGAGGGTGCTCCGTGCCCTTCTCAGCAACTGTGTTCTGTTTCTGATTACTGCCTGCCAATTTGTTCTTTAAACTGCTGTGGAGCTGAGTAATCTGCAGAAATGCGGTACTTCTCTGTCTCTCCCTGTCCTCGTGTCTTCAACTCATTCTCTGCACATGCAGTATTTCTTCTTGTGCTCTAAAGACAGCTCTTTCATGTTCTTTTCCCCTCCCCTGTCTACCTCTCTGTTTTATGTACTACCTATTAAAGATGCTTATTGAATTATCAAGAACAACAGTAAGTACGTGTTCTGAGACTCTCTTCTGGGGTACCTCTTGTTTTGAATCTTCTGATTCTTGGCATCGTCACTGATAATCTTTGGCCATCATTATGGAAAAGAATTTGAAAAAGAATAGATATGTGTACATATATCACTGAATCACCTTTTTGTACACCTGAAACTATCAAACATTGTTAACCAACTATACTCCAAAATAAAATACGAAGTTTTTTTACAAAAAATTAAATTTGAGAATAATATGAATTAAAAGGCTTTATAGCATACATCATGATATGGGTGAACAACTCCAAGCTTCTTGTTAGTGCTATTTACTTTCTCACTGAGAGAATCATATGCATGCCTTCCACGTTCTTATTTCTGTATTGTAGCTCACACATTTTAAAGCATGCATCACTCAGATAGCTTATGCAATGGAGTTAATGTTCGTCTCTGAATGGGTGACAGTCCCTGTTAGAGGATTTCTTTAGTTGAGGCTGCCAACCGCCTTCAGCTTCCTCAGTTCTAACAGTTTGACAGATGTGTGCACATTTCAAAGCAACCAGTGATTTATAGCATTTGTTTCTTGGCTTGAAAGTTTTCTCCAGGGCTTTTGTTGGTTTTGATAGTCTATGAAATGGATATAACTCTTGGAGGACTGAAAATACACTTTAATACCGATTTATAGTTTCCCGAGCCTAAGACGTCATTGGACAAAGTATGTTATCCAAAACGAGAAAACAAACTAATGTCATTACAAGCTGTTTTTTTTAAAAAGTACACAATTGTATAAAGAATCATCAAATGTAACTGAACACATACCTTAAAAAAAGTACTGGCAATTTTTTTCATGGAAATTAGTGGATCTGCTAATTTTTTGTCAGAAGACCTGTCATATATGCATGTGAACCTATCTATGTTACACATTTGTGTGCATGTACATATACATATATATATATGCTATATGTAAGTATAAATATTGCACTATAATATTTGTGATGCTGCATGTACTGTCATAGCTATTTTATTACAGAGTGTAGGCAAATGTGGGGAAGTTGCTCTCTGAAACCCAGACCCCAGGCTAGGAGACAGAAGAGTGGTCCAAATGTGAATATGGACGTCTTGTGAGTGTTCTTACTTGTAAAGTGCAGACAATTACACCTGTCTCCTCTGTGCTTACATTAGTCCTCCTTTCCTGAAGTTCATTGGCAAAGCGTAACTTGCCATGAGGCATGGGTTTGACCTTAGAGTGTGGTGTGTGTAAGGTTTATGCAAAGTGATGATCCAGCCACAGGACGAGGACAGGGACTGCATTTGTGAAGCACTCGCTAAGGCAGGCACTGGGCTAGCATCTTCGACATCCAGATCATCTTTCTTTTCGTTTTTATTGAAGTTTAGTTGGTTTACAATACTATGTCAGTTTCTGTTTTACTCCAATCCTTTGGCCACCTGATGCAAAGAACTGACTCCTTAGAAAAGACCCTGATGCTGGGAAAGATTGAAGGTGGGAGGAGAAGGGGACGACAGGGGATGAGATGGTTGGACGGCATCACCGACTTGATGGACGTCAGTATGAGTAAGCCCTGGGAGTTGGTGATGGACAGGGAGGGCTGGCGTTCTGCAGTTCATGGGGTCGCAGAGTGGGACACGGCTGAGCGACTGACCTGAACAGAAGTGTTGTAGAGCAAAGTGACTTCGTTATACATACATGTGTATCTATTCTTTGTCATGTTCTTTACCATCATCCTCACTACTATATTCGATGCAGGATATCGAATATAGTTCCCTATCAGATCATCTTTAGGACAATATCTCCATTTTTCAACCATTAACAAATTGCACACACTCAGCCATTGGCAGCAGCGCGTCTCACTGACACACAGCCCGAGTAGGTCGGGCCCCGGCACCGCAGGGTGGGTGCTCGGCTCGGTCAGCCGTGGTCTTTGGTGCTGGCCGGGCTGTCTCCCGTCCGCAGGGCGAGGCCCCTTCTGAATGTATGCGGGTTGTTGGACAAGCTCAGTTTCTGGTGGCTCTTCGCTCGTGGGCTGTCCGTTAAGAGCCCCAGTTTCTAGAGGCCTCTCACATTTCTTGCCAAGTGAGGATATTTATAAAAACCTAACTATCAAGAAAATCTCCAGTTGTCTTTATTTCTCTCCTTGACTGAAATGTCATGGAAATCCATTGCATCAGAATAATTTAATTTTACCTTTAAATTTACACTTAAATATGGACTTCCATGCTTGTGTTCATGCTAAGTCACTCAGTCGTGTCCGACCCTTGGCGACCCCATGGACCACAGCCCGCCAGCCTCCTCTGTCCATGGGATTCTCCAGGCACGAATAGTGGAGTGGGTTGCTGTGCCCTTCTCCGGGGGATCTTCCTGACCCAAGGCTCGAACCCATGTCTCCTAGGTCTCCTGCACTGGCAGGTGGGTTCTTTACCGCTCGTGCCACCTGAGGAAGCCCCAAACTTCATATTTAAACTTAAAATCAGTATTAAAACCAGCATTCCTTGAAAACTCAAGACTGTATTCCTTCTTTCATTGATGTGTTCAATAAATTATTTAAGGATCAACTTCTGCATATCAGTACTAAGTCCAGAGGATACAACAATGCTAAATAAGACAGTTTCTCTGTTTTCATAGGTAGAAGAAAATAAATCAACAGATTATCTATCTACCTGTCTATATATATATATATATAGAGAGAGAGAGAGATAATAACTAGATTAGTAGATAGAACTACAGGTAATTGCAAAAAACTTAAGCAGATCTGATTTAACTCAGGAATATCTTATAGTCTGAGGCCTTAAGGACCAAAGAGAATTGGCTTTGCTCCTAGGAGGAGCAGGAATCAGGTATAGGAAGGACTTTAGCCATGAGGGAACAGGGGAAAAAAGTCAGAGTCCCTGAAAACTGTTCCTCAAGGGTGAAAGTGGCAAGAAATAGAAATGATAGATGGTCTATAAGAGTGGCTTCTCTGATCATGGTACAAAATCATGGCTTATTTCTTTGTGGCTAGTTTATAAATCATAAAGGATGTATGGTCACATATGTAGGGATTAGTAATATCTTCTCTCTTATTATTTAAAAGTCCATAATAATACAAGCGATAGCTTTGGGTAAACATTTATCAAAATAAATGGGCCATTTTGCTGTAAGCATTAAAAATGTTTTGCGCATCACTTGTGAGATTAGCTTGGTACACAGTGTATGTGTTGGCTCAAGAAATGAAACTGCAATTAGATTGCCTTTGGGACTTCCCGGGTGGTTCAATAGTAATGAACCCGCATGCCAGTGTGGAGAGGGGCTTCAGTCTCTGGATCGGGAAGACCCCTTGGTGAAGGGAACAGCAACTTGGTACTCTTGCCTTGGAAATCCCATGGACAGAGAAGCCTGGCAGGCTACAGTCCATGGGGTTGCAAAAGAGTCGGACATGACGCAACTAAACAACAACAAACAACGAGTGTTACCGTTTCTGAAGGAAATCCTACAGCTTTATGTAGCTTGTGGCAGCTTGCATTATTTGTGGCAATAGTCGGTAGACGCTTGCTCAGTTTTATTTACTCCTTAATCTGAATCCTAAGCATGTAATCAAATAAGGAAATAAAAAAATGGACAACAATTGTGATCTGTTGTTAGGTTACATTATTAGTGCACTGAAATAAATATTCCTTTTTGCTTTATTTTTCCATAATTTATAAAATGCAAAGGCAGATCTGAAGCAGTGAGTATAAAACGAGTTAAGTGGGATATAAGGTTGAACTCTGGGGAGCATTAATCAAGGTTTCAGAAGTTAATGATCTAGCAGCCGACAAATGATCCCAGAAATGCTTTTGAAAGACACATGTGACCGAGATAGATTTTCATGCCTAAATACGTTGTTGAAATGGAGAGGAGTGGGGGGAATTCTTAGGCCTGTTAAACTGGCTTGAAATTTCCATTTTGAAACTGCAGTCGTTGAGATACTTTTTCCTCTGGGGTGCGCCTTGACACTTTGTTGACTACTGAGGGGTTTCCTCAGGCAGAGGACTCCAGCCTGGAGGCGACTTGGTTTCTGAGGTCCACGCAGCCCATGACTCTGCGCCCCGCCCGTGCTGTGTCACTCCCCAGGCTGTGACCTCCAGATACAGTGGCCTGGGGACATCTCATCATTCTCCCCGAATTCTAGCTTCCCTCTTCTTATTCCCCAGTGTCTTCCCAGCCTGGTTCTCAGTGTCCTGATACCTGACCACATTCGTTGCATCACTTCTTCTCCTCTTTTTCATGCACTGCTTCTGCTGTTCGTTCTTTCCTTTGACTGTTTTGCATGCCGCCTTCCCGATCTAAACTTTTCTCGTAACATGGATTGGAACCCGGCTCTCTTGCTGGTGGTCTCTGAATCCTGGCATGTGAGCAAGATTTTATGGAATTACAGACTCGATATTTGAAAAGAGACAAATGCTTCCAGTTCCTAGCCTCGAGGCTCTAAGTTCCTCAGCAAAATCTGGTCTCTGCCTTAATCTTTTGAAGATGGAGATCTCAGAGCCGCTGGGAGCAGTGCTTTAGTTTACCTTTGTATTATGGAGCCACACCTCCTGAGAATACCCTTCCAAGACTGAGAAGTAGCTTATAGTGCTTTCTGTGTCTAGCCGTTTAAATAACCTTATTTCCACAACCTGTCCATAAACGTGTTTCCTTTAATGGACAATTGGCCATTCTGGTCACCTTGCTTTCAGAGATTTTTGCTTTGTCAATATGTCACATAAGAAATGAGTGCAGGGCTGTCTGTGGCATCAACGAGTTCAGAATAAATCTATTCGATTCTCCGTCCTGGTAACGCCACATGCCAGAACTACGAGATCAAACTGGCATAGTGGTGTCCATACTGGTGGCCATCATCCCAGCAGATAATATCAAGTTTAGGCTAATTAACTCTGGATAAAGCACACGTCCAGTAACACGTGGTCTTAGACCTGAGAGACTTGGGAAAGGACTTTGCATTTATTCTAATTAAGTTTTTTACTACTGTAGATAGGACCAGTCTTTCAAGCTAATTCTAATCTTTTGGGTCAGAAGCTATAAACCTTCTTGTTAGCTAGAGGAGTGAGTCAAGGTAGGGTTGTTTACCTTGAATTCCAAACGTTGGGCAAGACAATGGGAATGAGATTCTGTATTATAAAACCAAAAGGAACAAACAAACAAAGATCCTCTTGCTTGAAATACTGCTTCAGCAACTTAACTAAAAAAAAACTTTGAAAAATAATGCTCACATTTAATTCATTGGAAGCTATTCAATTAACATTTAATTTCTGTAGACTTTACCTAAGATCAGAATCATATTTTCTTTGAATTCTTTTGCTGTTACCAAGTGATATGCTTCCCACGTGGCGCTAATGGTAAAGAACCTGCCTGCCAATGCAGGAGACGTAAGAGACTCATGTTTGATCCCTAGTTCAGGAAGATCCCCTGGAGAACGACAACCTTCTCCAGTATTCTTGCCTGGAGAATCCCATGGACAGAGGAGCCGGGCGGGCTACAGTCCATGGGGTTGTAAGGAGTCAGATACACTTGAAGCGACTTAGCACACAAGTGATACGCTAGGTTTCACAAAAATATATTCTTATGGGAAGCAGGTCATCACACTCAGAAACTGCTCTAGTTCAGCACGAACTAGAATGGACTCATTTATACATTTACAGTGTGTGTAAGCTGTGTCCCAAGCTATTGATTGCTGTGGAGGTATATTTTCCCTTTAGAAGGAGCTCTGTCACTTGCTAAATGCTTCCAGCGAAGCTGGAATTACTTGGAGTTCCCCCTCCTATTTCTGCCCTGGAATGAGAAAGATTTTCGGAGGCCCAGGGCGGGCTCTGGGGCCCTGCGTGGTGTTGCATCATCCTTCCCCCACCCCCACGGTCCCTCTAAGCCGCCCTCGAGCGCAGTCACGTGACCCAGCTGCAGAGATGGCTGCCCAGGCCCCTGGCCTCAGGGCAGCGGGTGGTGGGAAATAGGTCACTGGCCTCTTCACAGATAGGAGAGTTCCCTGCTGCAGTTTCTCAAGATCAAAGAGAAAAGCCCCAGCAGAGTGATGCTCAGAGGCTGTTTATCCCAGTGGTGTCTACTGGAGCCTCTAGGAGATTAAATCTAAATCAAGAAAAAATAAAGTGGAAAGAATGATTTGAGTCTCATGAGTGTTCATAGCTTTTTCACACACTGATGTTTTCTCTGAACATTAAACATGGGTTAGAGCAAGTATTTTACATCTCTTGTGATTAGCTGAATCAGTCTGTGCTCCGTGGGAGGCAAGATCACGACTTCCTTATTTACTGGCGTCCCCTGGGATGTTCGGGTAGATGGTCAACAGCAGATTCAAGAGGCGTGCGTGGGTGTTCAAGTTCCTAGGTTTATTCTACATGTTACTGATCTAGAGGATGGGTCACACACAGTTTGCCTCTGAACAAACCCAGGGAGATAGTGAAGGACAGGGAAGCCTGGTGTGCCGCAGTCCCTGGGGTCGCCAAGAGTTGGACATGACTCAGCGACTGAACAACAGCAAAGCACACCGTTTATAAAAGTAGAAACATATGATCCTCTTTGTTGTGAATTCTATTTAGCCAACCATTTCTCACAGAATACTTCTGTGATTTTTGTACTCTTGTACGTGTAGCCCAACCATGGTTGCAACTGACAGACTGACAAATGAGTGTGGCCAAACGCGAACGGTGGTTGATACTCTTAGTTACCTTAACTGGTGGGAAGGCAGTGGTACAGTGGAGACATACTAAAAGTTCTCTCATCTGTCAGGGCGGTGACGTGAGAGCAGCCTCTCTTCCGGGTCAGGTGACAGCTGCTGAACACTGTAAACATATTTCCACGATTTTCTATGCTGCTCACAATGTGACAGTTATGTTCAGGAAACACTTTTTACGTTTAATCTGGTTTACTAACATTTCCTCCATCACTTTCTTAGGATTAGACAATCAACACAGCAGTAAATCAAACTGTGACTTACGTTAATTACCTATTTCTGTCACGTGAACATGGCCTTCTTGGCCAAACTTGCACCACCAGCGTGACACCACCAGATGCATCACTAAATGCAATGCCCCACCCATATCTGGATGGTGGAAATACCATCCAAATGGTATGTTTCCACCACCCAAATGTGCTCCATATAAACAACCTCAATGAGAACACAGATAATAGTAAAGTTTAGTAAAATAAGGAGTAATGCACTTTAAATATTTATTACCTTGGTTTCTTATAATTTGACTGTAAATTTAATTTAATTTTTAATTCTATCTGCTTAGACAACTAGTTTTCAAAAACATATTTAAATTTGACAATGAGCTTTCCCAGGTGGTGCAGATTGACCCCACCCACCATGTGAACATCCCTGCTTTCTGATAGCTGTATTTGGGCCCTGAGCATCCAGGGTCAAATAATGTTGGTTATTACTGCCTGTGCCAATATCTGATTTCTCAAATTTCTTAACATATTGATCATACCTTCCTATATTAGGAGGCCACTGAGTACATTGACCAAGTGATAAGGTTCCACTTTCTCTGAAGAAAAAGCAAATGAGAAAAGTGATTAAAAGGATAGTTTCAGAAACAGATGTACAAAGTTTAAATCTTGGGTCTATGACTTCATAAGTGTGCAGAACCAAAGAAATGACCTGAGTTGCTTCCACTGTAAAATGATAATAGTAATAACACTAGGGGGTTATGTGAGCATTAAATTAGATACTGTATATACGAAATGTGCTGGGCACATATTAAGAACTTGAAAATGTTAATTGTTGTAAAATTTGGGGTTAGTCCTCCCAACTATGTGTATGCAGAAATTAAATTTCTGTATTTACAAAGTAGAGTTGATCCTTCTGGTCCTTCCTAAACCTTGTGGATGTCAGCCAATGACTCAGGAGGCTGTGAAAATCCATGGGCCCCATGGATCTGAGCCTTACCTTGTATAGTACCCCCCACCCCCACAGCTTCAGAGTTGAATATTAACCCACACTCTTACTTAAAAGTTACTTCAGTATTAGAAAGTATGAAACATAAAGGGCTTGACAGAAAAGTAAGCATGAAAAAACTTTCCTTGCTAAAGGGATAAGCGAATGAATTGTTTTCTACCAGTGTGTCCCCCATATGCCATCTTTGAAAGATTTGTCTATTTCTCCTGCTTTAAAATAGGAATTACAAGTCTGTGAATGAAATAGCCGGCTATTTCCCAAGCATTGCTTATAATCCTCTTCCCTGTGGGGAAGATTGCAAAGGGTATTTGCAAAATCTGTGAATGAGTAAAATTCATATAAACTGAGTATGTCCTGAGTTTAGTAATCTTGTTTTTTTTTTTTTTTTGAGAAATACCAACTTTAAAAAGGGAAAGGGTAAATAAATATGGGTTTATGTGGGTCCAGTGATATTTATTAACTATAGCTGTATGTTTTTCTTGAGTTAATATCATTAAACTGGATATTTTATGGTTATAAGCCAGCATGCTAATGATGATAACTAGAATTATAGTATTTTCTTGATTGACTAATATAAGACTGAAATATAATTTACCCCAAATTCTTGATGCATCAAAGGTTGAAATCAGTAAGGACCTTAGAGAAAAAGATTTGTCAGGATGACTAGAATTGGAAAGGAAAAGCCTCACTTTGCAGGTTATGTCATTTCACTTTCTTAGGTGGCTTCCCCACTTTAGGAGAAGTCTTTTATCAATGTGAATAGTGGCTGCAGAAATCACAATTGCCCCCACTCTGATGATAGTTTTTAAGCCATGGTGAACGAGACTCTCACGTAGCCTTTTCTACTGTTGTCCTGTCCTCTGTCTGACCCCCACACACCATGTGACACACCTCCAGCTTCTGCTTAGTCATCTTCTGCTGACTCTTCCACAGTCACCGAGTTTTACTTCTCACGTGTTGCCTTTCAGTAGAACGAAGCTGGAAGTGTGAGCTTCCCGTGGCCTGAGTTCAGATTCTGCCCCTGTTCATCTCTAGGTGAGCTCCCTGTCTCTCTCCTGTAAAACGAGAACAACACCTCCTGCAGAAGACTGCTGTGGGGATTAGGCGGCCAGGGCACAGGCAGTGTCCCAGACCTTGCCCGCAGACACACGGCCTTCAATTTCATGAACTTGTATTCTTCCCTGGTGATGCTGATGTTAAAGAATCTGCCTGCGATGCAGGAGACCTGGGTTCGATCGCTGGGTAGGCAAGATCCCCTGGAAATATCTAAACTGCTCACAGTTTACATAAACACATTTCAGCCTTATTGTCGAAACACCTGTCATGTGCCAATACTGTTGGGGGTGATGAGAATACAGTGGTGAACAAGGTGAAGTCCTCACCATCATCACCCATCATCCATCCCAGTGGCAGAGACACACATGGGTAAACACATGAGTATATAATATGATGACAGATGATACAAGCAGCAAGAATAGAGATACAGCAAGGGGCATTGAGAGAGAAGGCTTCTCTGAAGAGGTGTCATTTGAGCAGAAAACTAGGTGAAAAACAAAGAGGAAGTGATGGCCTGAAGGCAGTCACATGCCCCAACGCACTGAGTCAAGAGCATCTTAGGTATGTTCAGAGAGATGCAAAGAGGACAGTGCAGCTGGAGGGAAGTAGTCAGGATAGTGACGGGAGGTCAGGCTGCAGAAACGGGCTGAGGTCTTACCAGGGACTTAGTTTCATAGTCAGGAGGAGAAGGGGGTGACAGAGGATGAGATGGTTGGGTGGCATCACCGCCTCAATGGACATGAGTTTGAGCCAACTCTGGGAGATATGAAGGACAGGGAAGCCTGGCATGCTGCAGTCCATGGGCTTACAAGAGTCGGACGCGACTTAGCAACCGCAACAACAAAGCTATAGAATTAGTATTGTAGAATGATCTGATATGATTGTATCATGGAAACCAGATCAGAGATGCACAGAGGGCTAAGAACAAAGGGGTAGGATGGGGTGACTTCCCTATTTCAGGGTGGAACTTAGGAAGCTATCAAAGGCAGCAAGGTGGCTTTCTGCTGGTGTGGGCAGTCGCCTGAGGAGGAAACGTAAGCGTCTGCAAAACTGCTCCAATTGTGCCTGCCATCTGGAGAGGCGCTAGTCATCGGTCACTTAGTATCTCTTTTGACTTCTGGGCAAATGGATTGAGAAAAAACCTGCTGGGTGTCTATCATGTTGCTACAGAGATTATGCTTCAGTGACAAAGTATATGAGAAAAAGGAGAAGGGAGTGATATAGGAGGTCGTCCCCCCCAAAAAAAGACTCATCGTCCCAAAGGTCTTAGCAATATGAATTGGTTCAGATCTTCTTTTAAAACGTCTAGGTACTGATTTTGAAAAGTCATACAGTAATAGAATTAAGATATTCCAGGAAGTCAAAACCTGCACGTTCTAAACAATCTGGCTTTCGGCTCAGTGTCTTAGCTCACATTGCGTCTTTTGCCCCACCTTCCTTGGCATTCCCACAGTTAAGTTCCAGCACTCTCCCAGCTGCAGATTGCGGAGCCCTTTGAAGCCATGGCACAGTTTGCGACCTCTTACTCCAGGTTGGGTCCTGAGGCCCGGCAAGCATACCTCTGTGATGAGGGCACTTGGTCCTAATTAGGGAGACTCCTGGTCTACCTTGCCTGTCCTCAGAAGCAAAATCTTCTGTTCCACTTTGACCAAATCTATGTCTTTTAAAACTCAAGACAGAATGGAGAACAGTATCATGCATTGTTCTTTTAATTCTGTGACTTCTTTTCTAAGCAGCCAAGAATAGGGCTTTCTTGGATTTTCTGGGTCTGCTGCTTTCTGAACTTCATCTAATGAGGCTGAGTGGAGGTATTCACTGGAGAATTCAACTGCACGTTGTGCCTAAAGTAATGAACCGCGGGACTGCGTTTTCCCATCATGTCTGAAAACTACAGCACAAGGTGTCGGTTAGCATAAACATGGGTGACATTTCTGTCACATTAATGTTAGTATCTCATGTTACTATTATCAAGACTGCCATTAAAATACCATGTGAGATGAGATATGGTCATCCTCATTCTTTTGGAATGCTCTAATTCCTATATTTTGAGTTTTTTTTAAAGTATTTTAAAACTTTTGTAACTATTGCTGGGGGTCATATTTTGAATTCTCTTTTTCTGATGTGAATACACTAAATACCTTTCTTGCTTGATTAATAACAGGGTAAGTAGTCTTTAGCTCAGTTCAATTATGTAAATATGTTTTTTTTCCTATGGTATCTTCTTCTTGGTGATAATATCTCTTAAATAGATGTTGTTGTTTTTTTTTCTGATGTACAGTCAGCATTGCATATATGTAATCATAATTTAGGGTTCGGGCTATAGTGAAGAATTTCTCTCATCCATACTTCTGAACCCTGGCTGCACAAGAGTACTGACTAGGGAGCTGGGAAAACATGCCAATAATCCAGCCAGCCCCTAGAGGATCTGTTATAGCTGTTTTGATTAGGAGACAAATTGTTGTTCTATTTTATCACTCCCCAAGAGATGCCAGTAAGCGTCCAGGGTTGAGAACCAGTGATTTATAACTGATGGAATGTCCTGTAAAACTGGGTATGTTTATAAGGTGATTAATTGAAACACATTTAGTTACTCCACATGAAAATCATGTGTTGTGATTAATTTCGTTAGCATATGTAATTCCCAAAACTTTTATGAAATAAAAAGCTTTTAGACAAAAACCAAAGGACAACATAATTTACCATCAATGTGTCTTTAAAAAGTAGATGCTGAAGGGAAGGAAAGAGGGAAGGAGGGATGGAAGGAAAGAAAGAAGACAGATGATCAGAGTAAAAGTAAAAGTACCCTTTATCTATGACATAATAAAAAGTAAAGTTTTAGCCACATTCCTGCATCTGTATTCAGCACTGATACAGTTTTGGCTCTTCTGAATCTAAATGGGAAAACAAAGCATTTGTACATGAAAAATTGCTTAAGAGAGAGTCCCATCACCCTTCAGGATGAGTCTTGAGTATCTCATCTCATTTTATACAAAGCTGTCAACCTACAGTCCCTCACCAAATACCTTTTGTCTCCCTCATGTAGGTATTTCTTTTGGAATAAGAGTATGAATTGGAATAGACTGAATTCCTTAGCATTTTCCTGGGCAATTAATTTGTCTGAATTTTAGACCATTGGGGATATAACTTTTTTGTATTCTTCTAGATCCATTCCTCAAAGAAAACATAAGATTCTCAATGAACTCCATTTTATTGAGATTTCCTTGCCATAAATCATCACAGCAATATCTGACTATAAACTATGACTGAAAATTAAGTTATCTCCTTATCATACCTTTGTCATTAAAATCCCAGAAGATAAATTTTGCTTTGATAGTAATCTGAGTAGTTTTCTTANGCTGGAGAAGACTCTGGATAGTCCCTTAGACAGCAAGGAGATCAAACCAGTCAGTCCTAAAGGAAATCCACCCTGAATGTTCATTGGAAGGACAGCTGCTGAAGTTGAATTCCATTACTTTGGCCACCTGATGCAAAGAGCCGATTCACTGGAAAAGATCCTGATGCTGGGAAAGACTGAAG